GCACTGCTTGGCCGACGGGATCTGAAGGAGGCCCAGCCTGTGGGATCTAACCGGACGTTCACAAATGTGAAAACTTGAAAGAAATTGAGAAACAATTTAGCAAAAAGACCTTGCAAGCTGCAGGAATAAAATGTGCTCCTTTTGAATGGAAAAAATCTCAGCCGATAAGCTACACTGAATAACACTGTCTCATAGGGGAGATGTGCACTCTTAAGGTCTGGATCTGCATCTCAAAATGTTTATAAGTATGCATCTGGGATCCTGCCGCTGTGCCAATTATGCATCCTTTGGCTGGTTGTGCAAAACCCAACCTGTTAGGTTTTTGATAATTTATTTCAAATTGCTCTTTTAGACAAAAGGAAGCCAATACCCTAAATGTCTTTCTCATTTCCAAGACAGCTTTGAGATGCAGCCAGATGCCTTATGACTTCATTGACACATTTATGGTTGGGTTGGGTTGTTTTTTTGGTAACAATCCAGAATTGATTTGCTACTGTCTATGTCTGCAATTCTTTTCACTTTTTCTTTAAACTCCCCAGTCTTATCTACAGCCCGGGGACTTCCTGGTGATCTCCCATCCAAGTTTCTAACCAAAAGCTTAGCTTTTTTAACATCATTGTGCTCCTGAATATAAAAAATCAAAGACTTGTGTTTCAATACCTCCATGAGCAAAAGCTGGGCATGTAGAAACTGAATAAAAGAAAGATGTATTTAATAATATCACTAGACTGGTAAGATAGCCTAAAATTGGTAGAAGAAGGAAGTGATTTTGATGTGGAGTGATTCTGAAGCCCAGAAGCTATTTTGCCTTTTGGACTAACTTTCTTTGTAATGGTTTTATAGTCATGGAATTTTTGATGTTGGCAGAAACACCCTGAAGTCAATTATGGCACACACACAAAAAAGTTTCAGAACTGTGCCATCAAGTAGATGGTACACTTCTGAGAAGCTACACCCACACATGAAACATCAGCAAGAGTTGCCTATGATCTGAGTAACAGCAAGAATTTTGTTTGTCCATCATTTCAAGTCTTTTGCAAGCATCAATAAATTCCAGGCCAGCATCCTTGCTTCATTTTCTTCTCTTTCTTATTAAAAATCCCATTTAGGCAATTCATTAGTGCAGAACTTGGGGATTTTGAGTGGACAAAAAATAGAAATTAAATTGGCTATAGCAGATTTTCTTGCACTTGAATGCTTGGCATGACCCAATAATGCATTACTATATTTGCTGTTTAAAAATAGTGGCAATCAACTGATGGTGCCAGTGGAATCCTACCTTTTTGTCATTATTTTGCAAATGAAAACTGAAGTAAGCAAAGGACAGAGCCACACTAATATGGAAATTGAAATACTTACCTATTATTAAGGTTGTCCTCCATGTGTCTTCAGTGTACAGACAAAATAGTAGGAAGGCCCAAGCCTCACATACACTGCCTGCATATTGAAGCTCATGTTTGCAATATGTGCCCATGGCTCCTTCCCTGCATGCATTTCAGCAGGTAGATGGCTGGGGGAGAGCTTGCTTATATAAATGGAGAAGAAAAAGAAAAAGCATATGGTTGAGTATGATTTCTTTTTTTCCTGTGATTTTTGAAAACTCTGTGAATTTTTCAAGCGAGAAATTCTCATTGCAAGACTATAGTGTTGCCATCAAAGAGCTGCAGTGCTTAATTTTGTCTTCCCATTCTCATTGTAACTCAAAGTTCTTCCAGATGTTGTTAAACCATAGCTCCCAGCTTTCTTCACTATTGGAGAAACAGGATTACATTGCTGAAACTCCACTTTGGCTGCATTTAGAAGAGGACATTTTCCCACTTCTCCTTAACAATACTGAGAAGAGGGCATATTGGCCTTCTGTGCCTCGTGTTCAATAGCTCGTAATCATATAACTCAGATTTCTTCTCCTTTTCTTCTTTTTTTCTTTTCTCATTGTTATCAATTAAGCATTGCCTGCTTTTCTCTCTCCCAGACCTGAATCTGTCTTTAGCCGGCTGCCACTTGATATCTTCCTCTCTGTCTCATTCTTTTTGGAACAAGTATGCTGTATTTTGCTTTCCCTTATTTTTTCAACTTTAAGAAGAATTACTCCATTTTCTAGAAAAACTCAGGCTTTATTTCAGGTGTGCTCTGTGCTTATATGACATTACCCATATATGTTTTTTAGTGAAACTTTCCAGTTTGGGAGTCATCTAATGGACAGATATCAAGAGATTGCCACAGGAGAGAAGACAGCATTTGGGGGGAAAAAAATACATTTTTAAAGATCAAGGGTCAATCTCAGTAGGACTGGGATTCATTATTATTCTTCCATATTTTTGTTGGGGAAGGGCTTTTTGATGGACAGTTCAAATATTATTTAATGTTTTAAATCTATTTGAAGCTTAAATTGTTAAAATGACTGTAAAAAGCATGGAATCCATAACGCAGAACCTCAGGAATTTGCCACCTGATTACAACAGTTCACTCTGAATAGATCATAGAAAGGTTCAGAGGATTCCTGTGATCTAGGGAAACGTACTGGCCACTCTCCTCCTGGGACTAAACCATTCTCTTCTCTTCCATTAATCACATGCTATTTTCTGAGAGCCTGAATGTCTATCAAACTTCACCACTGACCCAAAACATAGCCATCCAAAGTCCCACATCCTCCTATTCACTGAAACAGTTTGCTTCCCCATCGTTTTCCCATCACGCAGTTTTGATTTTTGATGTTCTGAAGCAAAAATCTTAGACCATGAAGATAAAAAAGTAGGTTTCAAGGGTAGAAAGATATCTGCCCCAGGCGAGCACGTTAACAGCATCCAGCTTTCTTTGATATATGGAGTTCATATTCTACATTTGTCTTTAAAAGGTGTGTGGTTCAGACAGAAAATGTGGCAGGCAGCTCACTTCCAATTTGTAAATGGTGCCTGTGGATTTGGCAGCAAAATGAAAGGAAGAAGCTGCCAGCCACAATGGCTGCCATTCCATAGGCTCCACAGAGTGCTCAGTGTGCAGAGCAAGGATCCAGGCTGGAAAGTAGCTTCTCACATTTTGTAAGAAGCGGCATGTTATTGAAGCTCAGGAAGAACCTTGGCTGTGATATGGAGGGTTTTAAATATAAAATTTTTATTAAAAGTTTTACAAAGAGCATAAAAACTAACACAAAATAATGAAAGCAAAAACAGGAAAGAAAAAGAAAGAAAGAAAGAAAGAAAGAAAGAAAGAAAGAAAGAAAGAAAGAAAGAAAGAAAGAAAGAAAGGCAAGAGAAAAAAAGAAGCTTTTGATTTTCCTTTGCAGCAAATATAAGTACAGTGACAAATTTACCTCTTACCATGATTGCAAAGTGATGTGGTAGTGCAGGGGTATGTGGGAATGTTCTTGAGAGACAAGCAAAAGAGCCACAGGCTAGACAATGATCAGACAAGTGGCAACTCAGCTCACAGATATAATATGGAGGGCAAATATCTCAGAAGGGACCCTGCCAAATTTCCTGTTGCTGTAAAGGTAAAGATGGGAAGATGTACTTTCATATTTGCAAGATTCTGTGAATGTAACTTTACAATAAAGTTAGAACTAGTACTTCTGGGTGTGTTTCTTATCTGGATGAAAACTAACCAAGGAGACAATCATCCTAGAAAAAAGGAGAGATTTCCTGGCAGTTAGAATAATTAATTGGTGGGAATGGGTTGATTTCAGAAATTGTGGTTGCTCCAATACTTTTTAAAAAGAGAGTGGACAGTGATTTGTCTGAAATGGGATGTAGAATTTCCTGCTGGAGCAGGGCTTGGACTAGAAAATTCCAAGGTGCCTCCCAACTTTGTTATTCTGTATTCTGCACTATCTCGTAAGGTGTAAGGAGAGGCAAGTCAGAAACTACCTCCCTCCCTTGGTTAAAAAAAGAAAATCTGACACTCATCCGTATGTTATATGAGAACAAGCCAGCTTTGCAAGGTGTTTGTTGTCACTAGGGCTCCCTCATGTATAAAACCAAATATCTGTTGTAATTGCACTTCTCATTTCCTTTTTCAGAAGTATAACCTGAGGTCCCCAAGTGAAGCATCCTTAAAAACATTTTTTTTAATAACAAGCTGTTGCTGATGTGGATCTGGGTGCTGTTCTGAATCAACCCCAAAGCAAAGCAATGACTGTGCAGAAGTGTCAGGGGGGAGGGGGGGAATGTCAAGTGAGATTATGGGTGCCGTGACATACTTGTGCAAATGATGGAAATTGCATCATTTGCATCCGTGATGAGGAGAGTGATGATAGCATGACAGGTATGACATCATCCTTAAGAGATGCCTCTGCCTCTTGAATCAGGCTTCCTGTGAGCCTTTCTCCTGACATGTGAGATGGGAAGAGATGAACAGGTACACAAGAAAATATAAGGAACTTGTGATTTTACTGTTGAAAAGCTTAAGAAGCTATTGTGGAAGAATTCCATGAGTGCTGAGTATCAGATGTGAATTCTGTTTATACCATTGTTCAAATTCCTGCATCTCTTTTACCCATCAGCTTTGTATAAAGAGCTAGATGTGCATTTCTGGGTAGTGTGGGGAAAATTACTAAATACTCCTTGTTTTGATAATGGCCTCTTCTGGTACCAGACTCCTTCCTTTGGACCACATGACACCATGTCCTATACTGCTATAGCATTTGGCTCTGCCTGGAAAACAATGTTTGTCTTGTAGTATTCCATGGATTTGCGTTGTGAGATCTTTTTACAGGGTAATGCTTATTAGATAAAGCAGGGATCCAAATTTAATATTCTCACCATCTCATTAATTAAGAAAAGCTGTATTTCTCCAAGAACAAGAGCGGCGTCTGATCTACAGTTCAGACACTCTATTCATGTGCATTGAGAAATGCAACATTTTGCTGCGGTCTTAAAAATGGATAACAATCCAAGAACTGACACATGCCAAACTATCACTCTGCGTTTGATTGAACTGTATTGGGAAAGAAAGAGGAAAGCACTTTTAAAAATGAGGTTATGAGCATTGTTCTTCTTTCACAGGTTCAGAATATGTCTCAGTCCATTGAAGTTTTAAATCTACGGACTCAGAGGGATTTCCAGTATGTTTTGAGAATGGAAACGCAAATGAAGGGACTGAAGGCTAAGTTCCGACAAATTGAAGACGACCGAAAAACCTTAATGACCAAGCATTTTCAAGTAAGCATTTCCCATCTTTAAATTTTCTATAACAATTGTTTTGACTGACTGCCAGAAGTTATATGCTTGAGAAAGGGCACTATGAGGTGGGCTAGATGTCAATTTTAAATACTTGTTAGTAAATGCCTGAAGACTTGCTTTGAAAAAGATTGTCCCTACTCTATGCTGTTTCACTCTGATGGGAAGTTATCATAACTTACTGAAACAAACATGTGAAGACATTCTGTGTCACTTCCTTCATGATGGGGTTCCCACTGGGAGAGAAAGAGGGAGGGAGGGAAGGTAGCATATGTATAACCAACCGTACGTGTATGGCCAGATTCTACTGATGTTACACTGAATCATTCAGGAGATTTAATAACAAAATTATATGGAATGATATTCATGTGAATTCTAATACATATCCAAGAAGGGACTATTATGGTTCCTATGTTTTATTAATAGGATTATTTGACTTAATATTTTTAATTTGAAATATAGATTTTGGGGTCAGATCTTTATTCAATTAAGGATGCAATCAGAAGGTACAATGGACACATAGGGTAAATTGAGATATTAATATTTTCTCATTTAGTGGCTAAACAAACAAACAAATAAACAAGAAAAACAGCACTATGCCATTGGGAAAGAAACCCTGCCCTTTTTGTAAGTATGCCTTGATGCCACCTGTATAAACGACGTAGGGCTTGAATCTGATGGCATGAAACTGCTTTCATTATTTTAACCAAAGCTTTCAGCTCCTGAATATGCCTCTGTATAAAATGTGAAAGATGTAGAATATGTATGTGTAGCCTAAATTGTACCGCATTCTTTTCATTGTACGCCTACTGAGATAAGGAAGTAGAGGACTACAGTCTAAATGATACTAAGGGAGAGATTCTCACCAACTTCCCTTAAAATGTGGGTTCTTGAGTTATTTGGTCTCATCTCTGAAAGTAGAATTAATCTTCCAGTCTGGTTTCTTCCAACTTTCCCTCACTTTAAAAACAGGAATTTTACCACTGATAAAACACTGCAGCATGAATTTCACAGTGTCTGAGGAGGCTATAATAATTCTTGGGGTTAGAGAACCTAGTCAATTAAATTACTTTTGACTTCTTTCTAGCTCTCTGGAGAGGTTCCCTGAAGCCAGATGAAACTAAGTTTTTTTTTTATTAAAAAGTTTTTATTTTCCATTTATTCATACAAAATACAATTATCCATTGGTACCGCCTGCCCATTCCCCCCAGGCTGCGTTCACCCTCTCTAAACCTTCCCTACTTCCCTCTCTCCTCCCCTCCTACTCTCTTCCCCTCCCCATCTCCTCTAACCATCCTACTTCCTCCCTACTCCTTCCTCCCCTCTCATCCCTCTCACACACATGAACGCAGCATAGGGGAAATGCCCAAGCATTTACCATGACTATATTATCATTACCCACCCACCCTCAACCCTCCCCCCCTCGCTTCCCAGAGCAGAATACAGGGTTATTAATAAGAAGGTTAACAATAATAAAAAAGAAAGAAAAAATAAAAAAAATAAAAAAAATCATACTTAACCTTTAACTCCCCTTAAATTAAGATATATAAACAAATCTCTACAACAGTTACTATAAAATTTACTCATAAAATAAATGAAACTTTATAGTCCCATATTTTTTCTGAATATAATCTATCCATCTTCTCCATACAATAATATATCTTTCTTGTGTATGATCCTTCAAATAAGCAGAAATTTTTGCCATTTCTGCAAAGTTAGAAACTTTAAATATCCATTCTTCTAAAGTAGGCAGATGAAACTAAGTTAAATGAGTGAATCAAGTCCAAACATTATGTCTGGATATCATCCTGTGATTCTAAACTGGATTTTCACAAGATATTTAACTATGAACCAAACTTGTTTATTATTCACAGTCTGAGATTGTTGCTTGTTTTGTCAGTGAATTGGAATGAATATCAACATTACTAAAATGATTTTGGAAGCAAAAAAAAAAAGATGATGGCAATCTAACAGGATCGTATTTGAGGTTCTTTTTTCCGCCAAAGACTTTTTGCTTCTCAGCAATACATAAAGGCTGATCAATCACAGGGAAAAGATGCAAATCTCCAGGAGGACATGCAACAATGAGCAAGTTCTTCTGAAATCAAATTTAGACATTTTGAAGAGAGGGGAAAATACCTATTCTGGGCAATAAAGAATCAAAACAGAAGAAGTGTATTCTTCACCCAGGGAACCTGATGAACTTCATGGCAATTTCTCAGAAAGTCTACAGATTCCTCTCAGCAGTTGTTGCCTGAGTTCCATAAAAGATGAGCAGAGAATGATGCTGCTCCCTCTGCCACTTTCTGTGTTTTTGACCAAATGAACAGAGTCAAACCTTGCTTTAGGCCAGTGTTTCCCAAACTTGACAATTTTAAGGCATGAGGACTTCAACTCCCAGAATTCCACAGCCAGCAACGCTGGCTGTGGAATTCTGGGAGTTGAAGTCCACACGCCTTAAAATTGTCAAGTTTGGGAAACACTGCTTTAGGCAAAGGATTGTGGCTGCCTCAGGCACCAAACAATAGGAGGAGTGGGCAGTTATGTTGAATGACAAGCCTGGCTGGGCAACCAAACTGGTTCGTGCTCCTTCAGCTCTCCTGAAGCCCTCAAGTGTAGGGAGAATGCTTCCCTCTCCTCAGACTTGAAAGAAATCTCCAATCACTAGATCTGAGCATAAATATGACATTTGCCTCCAAAAGGAAATACCGCTGCGCTGGACCTGCTGATCATCTGGCAGTCTTGTTATGCCTTTTTTTTTCTCTCCAGCCATAGCAGATATTAGTAGAAAGCCTTCTCTAAGGTCACACCCAGGTTAATTCACTCAGGAAGGGAAGCTAAGCAGAAACTATCCCTTCAAGAAAGGTTCAGAATGGTGTCAATGCATAATATCTTCACATAGGTAATAGGGTCATTCCTGGCTCTGTTATGACTGTTACCAACATTGGTCTTGATAACAAACTTGTCTGGGGTGGCTCACGTATTTTGTATTGTTTACTCCACTTTTCCTTGACCGCACATAATGTCAGTAAGCAGCTGCTCAGTCCTAGCTGTCAAAGGCAAACTGCCTGTTTGAACACAGTAACCTTTTTTAGAGACCTGATATTTGGATTGGCTGGGCTAACCGATTTGATATGATACTTCAACTGGCATTTTGAAAGGGATTGCAAAGCAGTAAGGCTATTGAGTAATTTAAAAGGTCAGAATAATAGACCGTCTGCTTTCTTTCAAAGCAGCAATTTGTAAGAATTCAGGCCATGCATTTCATACATTGAGACAAAGCAATAGAGAGAAAACAGGCTTTGCATGCGTAAGTGCTCCTGTCCGTTCCATAACAGCTCCATATTTACTGATGCTGTTAAAATGCAGTGAATTCATTCATTCCTATCACTTTCTCTGGTTCAGCTCTCATTGACCTTTTTAAACTACAGTAGATAAAGCCACCAGTCATAGAACTGGCAATATGAATATTGCAGCGTGGAGGCACGGTCCAACAATTGAAGTATGCGGACTGACTCTATAGAATAATACCACAATGAGATGTGGTATTATTTCTTCCAATTCTGTAAAATGAAGTAAGATGTTTTTCTTTTTATTTCATACCCCTTAACACAGTTTTCTTTTCCTGTGCACATCTGAAATGGCAAAAGACCAAGCTAATTTGCCTTTTGGATTAGGTACGCGTTACAGGAAACCTGTTTTCAAATGGATGACTATTCACCATCTTACATATTTGTTCCATAAAAAACCCAGTTCCTCTTTGATGTTGATAGCTTTATTAGAGAGTGAAAGCATCCTTTACTCTCTATCCCAGATATTTATTAAAACTATTTCTGTATTCCCTGATATACAGGAGATTCCCAAGTAGTGTACATAGTACCATAAATACATTAAATATAGTACAAAATGCAGTCGTGCCTGTAATAATACAGTAGCAGTTCCAGGTGCTTATTATTTATTTTTCTTTGTTAAGTGTATGCCCTTCCTTTCCGATTATGTAAATACTCCATTAATTTAAACAAAGTACACATTTCATCTTTCCTTTCAGAGAGTTTTCAAAAAAACCTCCCAAACATTAACATTCCATGTGTTCCAAAGCTGTATAAAATCAATGAATATTTTGATTTTTGGAGTACCACAATAGAAAGTGAGGGGTCCTTGGTGCTCTCTGAGCTTGTTTTCAACCAGAGACAAGAGCCTCCACTTCTCCTCCAGGAACTCACTAAATTTTGGGCTAAGTATGCAGGGAAAACTACTCTACTTGGTTTCTATACTAGATAATAAGGAAGACTAAAGCACCCCAGTCGTTCTATGGCTGCTTACTCACTCTAGTACATGGATGTCTTTCACTCATTTGCATGCAATTCCTCATCCACTAGAAGAATTCTTAACCAACATAGGCCCCAACATTCTCCCATTGGGGGCTGGAAGGCGAGATCCAGTCAACAACTCTTACCTGCAAATTTTTCAAATTGCTGATCATAGTTCTATGTCTGTACTTTGGGGAAATTTTCCCCAATTTGGATGGTACTCAGAGACTGTTTTCTGAGAGGAAGTATACTTTGTACATTTATTGAAATGTAGATATGTCATTGAGCATTCTGTAGATTTTTGAAAATCCTGTTACAATTGAAGTTGCTAGAGATTGTGAGGAGGGTAGAAGAGTAATGAAAGGAAAGTTAGACCAAGAGATAGGAAGGTAGTCCATTGGTAGGTTATCTCATAAATGGCATCTATGTCCAGATGTCAAGAAACCTGGAAAGAAATAATTCAAAATGTTCAAAAAAATTCCATCTTAACGAACTTACTCATAAATAAGGGTTGGAAATTCTATCTGCAATTTCCAGGGTTTTGCATTCACCCTAATTCAGACACTTTACTGGAGTCTATAAAGAAAGATAGATAGATACAGGAAGTCCTCAGGTTATGACCACTCGTTCAGCAAACGTTCAGAATTATGACAGTGCTAAATGAGGGCGGAACAAACAACTAATCCTCAGAGTTCCAGCCATCATAGCATACCTGTGGTCACATGATCAAAAGCCAGTTGCCTATCTTGTGATTATGATGCCACGTGAGCCATAGTCATTAGATTGGGATTTCCTATATTCTCTGACAGCTTTCCAAAATCAAAGTCATTGGGGAAGCTGGAAGGAAGTCAGAAGTTGTTCCTCCTCCCATCACCTTTTCATCCACCAACGGTCCATAGTGCTTGCCCACAGAACCAGCACACCTGCCTGCACTCCACAGTGCCTGCCTGTGGCACCTAATACTCACTGGTCTGCTTGCTAGGACTCCCATCTCTTTCCACTTAACAACCCATGTGATCCTGGGGTTATAATGGCAAATTGGACTGAGCAATGCAGTCACAGGATATCTCACATTACAACCACATTGCTTAGCGATGGAAATTCTGGTCCCAATTGCCATTATACCCCAAGGATTATCTATATAGGGATAGATCCATATCTTTCATGTTCATTTTTTTTTTTTTGAAAAAAAATGTATAAGATTAAATACATTTACCGTATGGAAATACCCTAAACTCATTTGAGAAAGAACAGTCTGGGAATTAGATAAAAATCTATAAATCTTGCCTTTTATCTGTACAAAAATCCTGAAAGCATATTGAAGCCAACATTGAAAAAAAAATCTCATTGACTTATGTAGTGGTAGCACTGCATTCATAAATTAAGTTCTCTAGAATAGAAAGAGAATTTAATGTCCATTTGCAAAGGTCGGAGTTTATGATACTCTCTCTAATGAAACACTCTCCCAATTCATCCGTTCCAAACCATTCTTGCTCAAAATTTCTGGGCAGCTAAAGTAAATGGTTTTGTTTTTTTTTTCTCATGAGTATAAAATTAGAAGTTGCAAAGGGAGCTCAGTTTTCTCTAATGCATTCATTATAATAACATTTCTGCTTGTAATTTAGCACTGCAATTTCAGTCTTCCTAAATTAGATGTGTGAAATACATCCCCTTCAGCTTTACCTATGGACTCCCCACTGATGCTAATGTTTCCCAAATGAATTTTAGAAAACAGATTTTATTAAAGTAAAGAGGTAAATACAATTAATTTAAATGGGCTTTTAATACAGTCGCCACTATCAGTATACAATACGATGCAGTGCTAACAAGCCTCATAAGGTAGATCTCTTCAGGGAGTACAATGCTGATTTTGCAATATCTGCTTATTTTAAAAGTGGGCAAAAACCCTTTTAAGTAATTTAGGGGTCTCGGAAAGGGATCCTTATAATATGGGCAATTCTGAAGTTAATCCAATTTAACTTCCTCCTCAGAATTAGAACACAATTTTGAAAAATGAAACTCACGACCTTGGATGGAATATACATTCTCTGGCAAGAGACAATGATAAAATTTGCAGTGAAGGAAGCTTCTTGGACTTTCAAGCAGTTCCTTGAAGGTGGAAAGGGAAAGGAGTTTTGTAAGGAATATCAATGCCTTTTCCCAAATCGCTGCACCTGTTTACTGAATCTGAGCTGAAAGTGATGTCATATTTTTTTCTCTCTCATAAAGCTTTCTATTATCCTTATTGGACATGATGCCATGAAAATAATGGTGCCTCCAGAGTTTTTGAATTAGACTAGTGCCAGTAGTTTGCAATCTAGTTTATGTTATGTACTCACGAGGCTTTGCACAGACACAGACTGGAAAAATGAGGCTGAACCACATAGAAATAAGGGCAAAACAAGAGAACTCCAACATGCTATATGATTTGATGACAAGGGTATCTCTGATATGGAAGCAGAAAGTCAATAGCTGAAATCCAGGGGAAAAAACCCCTCCTTCCCCTTCTTCCTTTCTCTACCGTGATAGTTTCTGTGGAATACAGTAGCTTCTTTCATAAAAGTCACCTTTCATTAGATGAAAGTATCTACAGACAAGAACCAAGAGATGAAGTCAGTCTTTAATACAGAACAGTACCCAATATCATACATATCTGTGTTCAATCCTTGGATATTTATTTCTGCAGAAAATGAAAGATCAGCTCATTGAATTAATTGTTTTAATAACTGGTTTTTGGCTGTGTTTCTCTTTTGGGCAATAACTAGCATTTTGCTGGAGAGACAAAATACAAGCTGCCCTTTTGAGCTATAAACCAAACCTCACTGGATTTATAACAACATTTTCAATGCTGGTGATGGAATAACATCATCATCTGCTATGAAACATGATGATAGAATAGTTTAGAGTGTCCTCAAGGTAGACAGCCACCTCTAGCCCACAAAACTCTTGTCTGCCCACTCCAAAGCCCTTCTAAAAATTCTGACCGAGAGATCATTTTAGCATGATCAAGTTCTTAAATATATATGGAGCACTATTAACTGGATTTACTTAATGGCATTTAAAAGTGAATTCCATCATATCTAACGTGTTTTTTTTCCTGGTTTGCCCACTTCTTTATCTGAACCTTTTTTGCTGTGCAGACTCAGATTTACTACTCAACAGCCTAGTGTTACCTCAGCACAAAAAACCTTGTGTCGTCCTGACAAGGACTGCAAGAAAGGTCACATTAGATAGAGTTCAGCTCTCACTCTGGGTTTCCTTCTGGTAGCTGCCAAGTGATGGGCCAAAAATGAATCTGTGGTGGGTTTTGATCTTTGATCTTTATCCTTTTTCATTTCAAGGTTAACCACAAGGGAGGCAAAAAAGCAAAAATGGCAGAGGTATGAAAAAGGGATGGGCCTTCCATCACAAAATCACAACCTCTCTCTGCTTTATCCATTCCATTTCTCTCTAAATATTTGGATGCCAAAGGAGGATTTTTTTTTCTTCTTCTCCCCATCCTCCCCTCAAAAAACATGACTTCTATGTTTTATTTTAAGTTCTGTTGAAAATGGTATACTCTTTTCCCTCAATAGAAGCTTTACATGAAATAAGGGTAAAATTGAAGAAGATAAGATAAGATAAGATAAGATAAGATAAGATATCATTTTTTTATTGTGGGCACAACGGCACACATCAAAAATGAAATTTAGTTGCCCGCTCTCAAAGTGAAACACATACATGACATACACCTAAACATACTATATACAACATATGTATAGTCCCATACCCCAACATATACATAACAAATAAATATTAAATACTGTCCATCTTGAATATATAATGGAAGGAGGAAGCTTGAGACAAGAGTGTGTGTTTTGCTAGTTTTACCTAATTTCATATTATAGTTTCAGACTACTTTCAGACGTATCTCTGATCTCTCAACATCTATCCTAAAAAAGAATGTTCAGGTGCTCCTCAAATCATTAGCACTAACCCATTCTAAGTGTTTAATTGCTGCTTTCTGTGCTTCTGACTTACCCTGTTGTGGAAATCCCATCCAGTTCCCATTCCCTTAAAATGTAACTATAACAACAGTACAAATATGCTGTTTTAATTATAAATGCTATTCATAAAATCCTCCATAGATATTAGTAGTGATAAAGGAGTTTCATTCAGTAATATCCCAAGGCAGTCCTTCTAATGAATGCTAATTTTGCACCCATAAAATGAGCACTGCAAGCCGTGTCATTGACAGATCTAAAGGCATTGGGGGCCGAGGTTCATAATACACTCATTCTCTAGCAACTCAATTCCAAATACAATTTCAAAAACAACAACAGCTGAAGCTGACAAGAATTAGTTCCACCGAGCCAAAACAGAACAGTGTGAATATTCCTGAAGCACTTTTCAAAAACAGTTTCAAAATGATTGATGAAACTCATTAAATGCAGGTTTATAATGCTACCACACACAAACACTCCCCAAATTATAAAGTACCAGCAAAATAGCTATGGAATACTTTGAAGACTACTTTTAATGGCAGTTGAGAAGTAGGAATTAATCTAGAAAATTGAAAAATCGAAATACTTTATTAGTAAACCAAGCTAGTGTCCATGCTTGACTGCAAAGCTTTTTCTCATTGAAATAGTCTTGTGAGTTGCTTTAAAGATGCAGTTCTTCTATCTTTTGTCTTACTTTGATACAATGACAATTGCAATTTAGTTCAAGAATAAATGTTGGCATAAGTAATCAGTCATGTGAGAAACGTTGTAGTAGTATAACACAAATATATGGATAAGTGCCAATTATTAAGCAGGCAAAATGGTCTGTTTCTAATCAGGCAAGTTGTCATTAAAGTGCTTTGGATCTTTAAAAAAACAAAAAACCCTACAGTAGTGGAAAAGGCTTGACTTAAAAGAAAGTGATTTGTTTTAAGTAAGATTAAAAATTGAGTACTTCATATGTTATACTCCAAGCTTGAAGCCATTTATTCTTAGCTTCCTAACTGTCTCACAGGACTGGAATCATTGTTTTCATACCAAGATCAATAAAAACCACAAGAGTAGATTTGAAAATAAGCCTAACAGGATCTCATTAAGGAATTTAGAGGACATGGCACTTCTTAGCACTTCTCTAATGCACACTCGACTTCTTTTTCACAGGAATTGAAGGAAAAGATGGATGACCTTCTACCACTGATACCAGTTCTGGAACAGTACAAAACAGACGCCAAGTTAATCACCCAGTTCAAAGAGGAAATCAGAAACCTGTCTTCAGTACTGACTGGGATCCAAGAGGAAATTGGCGCTTATGATTATGAGGAGCTACATCAACGAGTCCTCAGTTTGGAAACCAGGCTTCGAGATTGCATGAAAAAACTGAGTAAGTTCACACTTTCATTCCTCCTTGCTTTCTTCACATCTGCTTTGCCTGGAATTCTTCCATGAAGAATTTATATTTTGTGTTATTGATTTGATTTGTATGGCCACCCATCTTATCTAAGTTATTTGGAGCAGATCACAGCAATTAAAAACAACATTGAAAACAAGCTAAACTGACCTGCAAAACTGTCGATAAAAGCCACATTAAAAAAAAAAAATCAGCGGCCAAATAAGTCACTACATCAAATTCAGTATATGTAACTTCTGAAGAAGATCTCCACTATCGCCTGACTTCCAAGCACAATGCCAAAGCCATATCTTGAAGGCCAGTTGGGTTGGGACCAATCTAAGCTCTGAGGGAATGATGTTTTGAAGAGTGGGTGCCACAACAGAAAAGCCTTCTTCTGGGTCACATCAGATGACACTCCTTCATAGACGGGATCTTTCTGATATTTCTTCTGTTCGTTAACTTTGTTCTAAAACCTCTATCCTCTGGCAACTATGTGATTGAATCAAACTGGGCAGTCAGTGGACCATCTCACTAATCTGAGTTACATTCCATTTGGCCTTTTATGTCTTTTGTAATCCATATCAGTTAAGCAATAGATCTACAGGGGTAATTTTGGAAACTACACTATTGTAGTTCATTGCAGCCTTAGACGGTGGTGCATAAGCTAGGAGCAGGCATGCACAATCTTTTCTGAACAGAGCTACCCTTGGTGTTTGAATGACATGCTACAGACAGGCCTGAGCCAAGAACTTAATTGGAATGTAATTAGATTTTAATTGCCTAAATACAGCTAATGTGATTGCTTATCGTGCATTTAAAAATGTCTTTTTACAATCAGGATACGGTATTGCCAGCAACTTTGGAAGAATCTTGAAGCCATGGCCCTAGATTATTTATACTCTGTCTTTTTCTGATTTTATTTTATATTCAGGGATACTGAGATTGGATTCTAGAGCTACACATAGCTACATCTAAATGACCTGGGGGGGGGAGGATTAAGCAGGATAAGATCTGGTAAATTTTATTTGGGAAATCCCAGGGCTTTAAACTAGACTATTGGGTTGTTGTTTGCTTTTGTTTTTTTAAAAAAAGGTTTGCCTTTGGGGAAGATTTATTTTGGATGGAGAAATGAGAGGGAATGACAATGTAGTATAGGTGTGGAAGAAATTAAACAAAGGGTCAGTGAATGTATGGCTTCTTATATGATACAATTAAATAAGTGAACTATAAATATTAAAAAATGTTTGAAACACTGGAGGCTCTTTGAAATTGATCCATTTAGTCAGAGATGAGTTCATGCTCTACCAGATCTTCAAGATACTAGTGGATCATTCCATTGGTTGAGATAGCCCACCGACCATGAAGGAGAAACGTCTGTCTTTAATACAGAAGTCTATGCAACACATCCTTAGCTTTACCACCCTCTGTTCTACGAACATATACATGAGATCAGAAGGACATACACAACAGCAGGACTTGACTTAGTTAGCACCATTCTAGTATAGCCCTAAACAAATACATTGCACTTGACATAATCAAACAGCTGGACGATAAATTCAGTGAAGCTTTGCCAGCAGTTCTTTCCATCCCCATTCCCAACATAATTCCAGGCCAAATTGCCCTTCTGAGAAAACACAAACTAGTTATTTTGTTAATGTATAAGCACAAAAGATAGATTTAATCAGTGGCAATTGTCTACAGTACTATGGAGCAGAAAAAAAATCTACTCCAAATGGACACAGTATTTTACTGTATTTTTGAATGTTTATATTCACTAGGCAAGTAATGGATCATTTTTCTAATGTTAGACAACTTTAACTATAAGCAAGCATCACTGAACTATCTCCAAATAAGTATGCATTAAGGGCAGCCCCCCAAAGCACCTTCATTCTCATTTACCCAACATTAGCTTCAAAAGAATGACTTTTTTTCTTATTTCCACAGGGTGCTCATTTCTGAACACAGAATATATCTGGTAGACTAGAGAATGTAGTTGGTTTCCATGAATGGTGTTAAATAAGTAGTGAAAAAATAATGGGGGGAAATATTACTTAAATTATATTCATCCAAAAAGGCAAATGCAAATAATCTAAAGTAACTGGATGGAAAACTATCATCCTTCATTTCTGGCAACAAAATCATTAGCAATACCTTTAATCAGTAAGGGAATCTAGCAATGCTAGCCATACCAATCCTTTACATATTTCTAAATGTTAGTCTGGTAAACTCTGGATATCAATACAGAAACTTTATACTGTAATATTTTCTCTTTCACGTATACAAGATTTTCCTAAAGACAAGGTAGCAAAATGGAAATATATTGAGTAGGATCTTTAGATTCAGTTACCTTTTCAATAATACATTCTTGACATATCTTTGAAACCAGATGTAGACTAAGGATTATGGCTAAATGAACTGGAAAGGAAATAAACTATGCATGTGGTGTTTCCTTTTGAGGGTCTCCTGTTGTCACTAGAAATACTTAATCACTTGCCATTTCATTGATGAAAAATATGCAAAAGAGATTGAGGAAAAAGAGGAAAGGTTCATAACATTCTATTAGGAATGATGAAACTTCCCCCGGCGGAATTTATAGGGTATGAATTATGCAGAATTGATGAAATAAGCTGTATATGATTTAAGGCATGTCCACATATGAACAAAGCAGGCAGGATTTGTATGTGGGCGTATAATGGCCAGCATGTGCTAGTCATTCAAGGTGAAAATATTGCACCCAGAAAATGAAAGTTGACAACATTGTATGATCCTTTGAAAAATTAAGCATCAAAGTTTGTTCTTCTGATGCGCCTTCTTGTGAAGGTCAGATAGCCACTCATGTCTAGGTAGATCCCAAAGGGACAAGAACAAAAGATGGGATCAGTTGCCTCTCATCTGTATTCTGGCACTGTCTGGGGGAAATGCGTGCAGGACTTTTCCTTCTTTAGCTGGAGAATAAAACACAGATCTGCTATGTGCTTTGAGACTAAGTTGGCACTTAAACTGATCCCAAAGCTTAGACAGAGCCCCTGTGAATACCTGCCAACCATCTCCACTGCTGCAGGAAATGTACTTGGCAATCAGATCACTTCAAATCCCAAATTATATCCCTAATGGACAGAGGCAGTGGAGACATTTGTCTTATTGACAATCCTTGGCTATAAAAATAATGACGAGAGGCGCTTATTAGAAACTGTAAAGGTGCATTATCAGTAAGTGCCAGAATGTATTCATGGTTTCTAATGTTTGCAGTTCATCTCAGAAGGTGATGGTTTCATTGTACATTACTTTACTTCTGGAAGCACTAGAGACACCAGTTTAGCAGCCTTCTAGAAGAACTGAGACATCATTGTCATCCTTAGTGACCAGACCTGTCCTCAGTGGCATTTCCTCAATATATTTGCAGGAATTCAAAAAGACAGGCTATTTCAGATAAAGGCAAATTTATTTGCTTATTATTTGTTTGTTTATTTATTATTTATTCATTCATTATTTAAAAATTAAAAAGCTGCCCAACTCACTCTCGCTGACTCCAGATGGCTTACAGTAATAAAGCCACAATACAAAAGACCAGAAACCCCCACCTTCCCTGGCGACAATAGTAAAACCAACCATTTGATGGGCTCTATATCGCCCTGGGGTCTCCAGGCCCATTGGAAAAAAACATCCCTTCAGAGCTTTTCAAAAGAGTGTCAAAGTGGGGCCAATCTTATTTTTGCTGGGCTGATGTTCCGTAGGCAGTGAGGCTCGAAAACTCAGTACCCTCCTAAGCATACCCATGTGCTCTGAATCCATTGGCAAAGTCCATTTTGCTCTCTGAATTCATGGAGACATAATCTCCCCCCCCCCCGGATTTTCTGATGTATTTTACCTGGAAATGTAGATGAGGCAGGCTCTACACTCCTAAAGCATACTCATGTACTCCAAATCCATTGGCATTGTCCATTTTGCTCTCCAAAATCTACTTTAACCCTAAGTAGATTTATTCCCCAATAGGATTTTCTAAAGTATTTTAGCAAGAAATGTAGATGAAGCAGGCTAGAAAAGTCAGTTATTTTCGTTAAACTTCAGACTGCTATTTTCTAATCTACCACAAATTGTTTTGAATTTTATTTCTGTATTTGTTTGTTTTTAACCATTTAGTCCTGTCCAACTTTGGGACGTTATAGGCAAGTGCTTTCCATGCTACCCTGTCAAGCACAGCTTCTTTTAATTGTTTTATTTTAGGCAATTAGCTATCCCTATTTATGTTATCTCAAATCTGCTCAGCATTCCTTTAAGCTGTTCATCCAAGTTGCTATAAAATGTTGAAATGTTGTGATGCTTTGCCGATTCTTAGCTCCAATTATTGATCAGAGTTATCCTGTAGTAAAATGGCAGCCAATAAATTTAATTAATATATTATGATTTTTCTGGTCTGGTTTTTAAATTGGTTATCTAACCAATTCATTGCCACACCATTCAGTCCATATTTTAATTAACTTAGTAATCAGACTCTAATGATGTACCTTGTTGATTTCTTGCTGAAGTCAAGATTAATTGATGTTCTGGAGACTGTTTCTTCTGTGAGACCATGGAAAAGAATGTCATGTATGCCTCTAGTTTTTCATTATTATTGTCTTCCACTGGGTTTGTTCCTCTGAGACTTTTCCTTGTAGAGAGAGAGACTTCTTCTATTAGACCCTGTTGACTCCTTTCTTGGTTTAATGAAGCTTATTCCTCCCTTATGTGCTAAACTATGACTGTTACATCCTCTTTCTTTTTTAACCAAACATCAGTACAAACTCAGATCTGCTAGAAAAATGTATCAGATGGATATCAAACAGGGACCCAAACATACCATAATCACGGAAAGTCTGACCACATCCATTCATCAGGTGTACGGATTAGTTAAGCGCATACTGTCAGCTTAGACAGTATACCAAACGTGTTGGTCCTATGAGCTTGCTCCATGGAAACTGACATTTCTAATAAGGCTATTTAAAGGATTCCCT